TGTTACCCAGGCTGGAGTGCAATGGCGCAATCTCGGCTCACCGCAACCTCCACCTCCTGGGTTCAGGCGATTCTCCTGCCTCAGCCTCCCGAGTAGCGGGGATTACAGGCACGCGCCACCACGCCCAGCTAATAAATATCAACTTTTAAAGCAAAACTGAAAAATTCCCAGTTCCAGAAGAGTCATCTTCCCTCAAGATACAAATGATCCTTGAAGAGGCGCACAAACGTTTTGTAGTAAGTCACCTCCATTTTAAATTCAAATCACCAAATTTCTGATCTGCTGCTCTCAGTCCCTGCACTTTCATCATCTTTATCCCACCTTCCAAGAGAGAAACCAGTGGCTGGTGCTTATTAGCACAATTTGAAGACTCTAGATAGATACTTTTGAAGAATTGGCCTGGCGTTAAATCCACCTCCCTCCTCCTCAGCGCCCCCCCCCCCAACACACAATTAGAAGGACAGATGATGTAGTGATAAACAAATTTTCCTGGGGAAAAATTAAAAGTGCTTTTTAAAACACAGGTATAATTTGCCAACTCTTTCTCATCAGAAACTAGTCATGGCACTACTATTAGAATTATTATTTTTTGCTGCTTGAGAAATCCCTACTGTCTCTAGCTTGCCTTTAGTTCTCAAGAGAGGCCCAAATTATTAAATGACTCTAATTTTGGTGATTTATTTAAAAAAGGAGATATTTTCATTGGTTTCTTATTTTTATAAACTATTTCCATTGAGATTAACTGCAAAAGAACTTGGGAGCTGATAAATAGAGGGATTTTTCCTCCTTTAGGGGAAGTAGCAGTATGTTGAAAGGGGGATTATTTTTAAAGTTTGATGTGTTTTTTGTAGATATTCTTTAATAGTTACAATTTAGAGACTATTTTCATCTACAGTAAGTCCCATTGGTGAAATCCTAAATCACAGTTATCAGTTCCAAAACAAGTTAGGAATTAAGACACAAATAATTATTTTTTCAAAGTATAATTTGTTGAGTTGGCGTCTGAGCTCAAACAATTTGAAAGCAGCTTTTATATAATTTCATGCTCTATGAAAAATCCATTTGGAAAGTCATGTGTAGCATTTGTTTTATAAGTAGTGCATTCAATGGGTACATCCCTGTTTTTTTCCATTATTCAACTGCTGCCTAGCATATTTCTAGGAGGAACAAAAAGCTGTCATCGTAGTAACCACTAGGATGTGGTTTCAATGGGAGACTATCATTCAGGCATCTGTAACTATGTTATATCAGAGAATCTAAACAATATACAGAAAGAGCCTACTGGAAATCAGAAGATGTGCTTCATTACGGCAGAGACCGCATATAAAAATCCGGCTTTCTCTGTACTTCTTTCAGAAGATATTCACACATGTATTTAATGGAAAATGTGCTAAACGCTAGGAATGGGAATTAGCCTTTGGTCAGGTTACCATGCTGTTTTATTTGCTCTTTAACTCAAATACATTAACGATAAAGTTTGAAGAAAAACCTATATTAGCCAACTATGGAGGTTAATTGTTCTTTAAGCAAGACTGAAAGAAAATGAGAATGCTGAATGTTTTTCTTCTATTTCTTGTTAATCGTGTAATTTTAAGTATTTATTGCTACACCACTCTAAGATTGTCCTATACTATCTATAGTTTTCAACATTAGCATAAACATGTAAGAGTGAGTAATGTATGAATTTTTCTTGAAGGATAGCAATCACCAGAATAAGAGTTATTTAGTTAGTTTTCCTGGCTAGTATGCCCTGATACGTAAGCCCCATCCAGACTATAACCTCTATAGCTCATGGGTTACATGTATTGCTTTGTTCTGAGGTTTCACAGTTTACATGAAAGACACTGAGTGTATATGTTTGTGCATGTTAACATGCTGCTGACCAAGATCAATAAAAATGCATCAGTGGAAACAGAAAAGTCAGTTATAACTACTAATTGGAAGTCAAAAGCCTTCACTTTGTATATAATCAAAATTATTGAAATTGACAAAAGCCAGAAAAAAATATGGTATGCCTTTCTCTAAGAATTTAAAACATGATACAGGATAAGTGTGAGGATTACCAACTTATACAGAAATAACCAGAGCAGAAATAGGACATACATAGTCAACACTGGCTCTCACGTAAGAGCTGTGAGTAGAGCCAAGGCCATTGCTCTCTGGATATTCTGGCCTTCCTCTGCATTCTTTGGTGACTACATATCAGTACTTTATCCATCAGGAACACATGTATTACATATTATATTCATTACATAGCATGTCTGAGGAGGACATAGTTTCAAGTATTAACATAGGACAATAAATCCTTTTCAACACACGTAGATTATCCAAAAATTACTTTATCTGTATGTTTCTGACATCATAATAATTTTATTTTGCTTTTAACCTTACAGACATGGATGTGGCCTTTAGAGATTGGAGTATAAAAATAGGGTTAGGAAGGGGATGATATTCATTGATTAATTATACTGGGATTACTAACCACAAATCTCTTTTTAACAAAGGAGGAGTTTAGAATTATCCGTGCATTTCTCTCTGATATTATATGCAAAGCAGCTGACTCCTTGCCTGGCACATTGTTACATTATATTGATGATTTCTAGTTCTTTTTATTTCTGTCTTCATAAATATTTGTAGGATTGAAATATCTTACTGGGCTTTTAAAAATAATAAATAAGATCTGCAGCATTTTAAAACATTTATTTCTAATTGGAAGTCTTTCTACAAGTATTTCTGGAGTTTTTTCATTATGTGCCAATTCTTTTCTTTTTCTCTTTTTTTTGAGATGAAGTCTCACCCTGTCACCTAGGCTGGTGCGCAATGGCATGATCTTGGCTCACTGCAACTTCCACCTCCTGGGTTCAAGTGATTCTTGCCTCAGCCTCCAGAGCAGCTGGGATTACAGGCACGTGCCACCATTCCCAGCTAATTTTTTGTATCTTCAGTAGAGATGGGGTCTCACTATGTTGGCCAGGCTGGTCTCAAACTCCTGACCTAGGGATCTGTGTGCCTCAGCCTCCTAAAGTGCTGGGATTACAGGCATGAGCCACCATGCCCAGCCTATGTGTCAGCTCTTATTACATTAGCGTAATCTATACAGCTCAGTCCAGAAGTAAAACAGAAATAAGGCATTGCAATGTGACACTGATGGTAAAGGGATGCTACAATTACTTTAAAACAGCCTAATAAGAAGACTGAGGCAGGGGAGACTCAAGTCAAGAGAAAGCAATAATATAAAGTTCCCACAGAAAAGAACAGAAAGCGTGACCATTCAGAGAACTGCAAACAGTGCAGGGATTTCAGAAACTAAATGAATGATGAAAAGCTACATTTCAATGATATACATGTAAAGATCAATCAAGGCTCAAAATTACTGAAATCTGAAAAGCTAGATTAGCTATGGCAATATAATTTTCTACATGACAAAGAAGGAATATGGTTTAAACTTGAATAAACTTGTGCCACCCAAATATTTGGTTGTCAACTGATCTTCAACAAAGCTGATAAAATTAAACAATGGGGAAAGGACTTTCTATTCAATAAATGGTGCTGAAATAATTAGCTAGCCATATGCAGAAAACTGAAACTAAACCCCTTCCTTACACCATATACAAAATATATAAACATACAAAAATCAACTCGATGGATTGAAGACTTCAGTGTCAAACTCAAAACTATAAAAACATTAAAAGATAACCCAGGCAGTACCATTCTGGACATAGGAACAGGCAAAGATTTCATGATAAATATGCCAAAAGCAATCGCAACAAAAACAAAAATTGGCAAATGAGATCTAATTAAACTAAAAAACTTCTGCACAGCAAAATAAATAAATAAATAAAATCAACAGAATAAACAGACAACCTACAGAATAGGAGAAAATATTTACAAAGTATGCCTCTGACAAGAGTCTAATACCCAGTGTCTAGAATTAAGTTAAACAAATTTACAGCAAAACCCCACTAAAAAGTGGGCAAAGGACATGAACAGGTACTTCTTGAAAGAAGCCGTACGTGGGGCCAACAAGCATATGAAGAAAAGCTCAAATCACTGATCATTAAGAAACACAAATCAAAACCACAATGAGATACCATCTCACACCCATTAGAATGGCTATTTTTAAAAAGTCAAAAAACAACAGATGGGGCAAGACTTATGAGCAAAGGGAATGCTTTTATACTGCTGATTGGAGTGTAAATTAGTTCAACCATTGTGAAAAGTAGTGTGGCAATTCCTCAAATAACTAAAACAGAACTACCATTTGACCCAGCAATTCCATTACTGGGTATATACCCAAAGGAATATAAATCATTCTACCATCAATATACATGAACACATATGTTCATTGCAGCACTATTCACAGTAGCAAATACATGGAATCAACCTAAATGCCCATCCATGGTAGAGAGTATAAAGAAAATGTGGTACATATACACAATGGAATACTACGCAGCTGTAAAAAAGAATGAGGTTATATCCTTTCTAGGTGTATGGATAAAGCTGGAGGTCATTATCATCAGCAAGCTAATGCAGGAACAGAAAATCAAATACTGCATGTTCTCATTTATAAGTGGAAGCTAAATTATGAGAACTCGTGAAAACAAAGAGGAGAACAGCAGACACTGGGACCTACTTGAGGGTGGAGGGTGGGAGGAAGGAGAAGATCAGAAAAAATAACTATTGGGCATTAGGCTTAGTGCCTGGGTAATGAAATAATCTGCACACCAAACCCCTGTGACATGAGGTTTGCCTATATAACAAATCTGCACATCTATCCCTGAATTTAAAAGTTAAAAAACTAATAACAAACAAAGAAATACTTGTGATAAAACTAAACAAATTGCTTATGAAGTAAATTTAAAACTGCACGATGTATTTTTAAAATTGTGCTTCTTATGTCATTACTGTTCTTATGCCATTATGATTGAATTATCATTTGTTGTATCGGTTTATAATTTTTACTGAAAATAAATTTTTTTTTTTTTTTTTTGAGATGGAGTCTTGCTTTGTCACCCAGGCTGGGATGCAGTGGTGTGATCTTGACTTACTGCAACCTCTGCCTCCCGGGTTCAAGAGATTCTCCTGCCTCGGCTTCCTGAGTACCTGGCTATACAGGTGAGCCCCACCATACCCAGCTAATTGAAAATAAACTTTTAACAAAAAAAAAATTTCAAACCTATATGATTACATCAATTCATCATTTTAGAGTATTTAATCACTAATACAATTTATTCTTCACCAAACTTGTAATAACCATCATATTAAATTATTCTTGGTATGATTTAATTTGTCATTCTAATGCTAAAAGATAATTGTTAGTGGCTGAAACTGCAGATTCGACACTAAATAAGCAGAGTGGGTTAATGCCATTTTCTACAATGCACACAAACAAAGTGTGTGTACAGGTTTAAAATACTTTTGTTTGTACATAGGAATACATATTCTCCTTAAAAGCATATTTGCCTAGGTCTAATTGAACTTGTTGACATTTAGCTTGTACCGAAAATACTGCCACGCAGAATATCACAAAATTATTTTAGCACAATTTCTTTGGGATCTTTTTTTGTGTGTTCCTAATATTTCCCGAAGATAAAGGGCACATTAATTATCTTTATAACTAGGGAAAAAATACCTGCTAAAAAGTAATCAGATTTCATATTAATTGGAGAGCTTACACTGTGGTCCATTGAACAACACTGAGCTCATGAGACTTTCTGAGCACAGCCAAAACAATTCTCTTTTGTATCCTTTAATTTTTCTACCTTGATGGAGAATTGTTAAACGTCAAATTATTTTTCTGATTGACATCTTTTTTATTTTTCTTATTTCACTTACAGGAAATTCTAGCCTCTTGCTATTGTTAGCAAAATTGGACAAGCAGAATTAAAGAAAATCGTTGTGCTTTGAAAATTGCTTTTATTTCAATAAATGGATTTCACCTCCAATGAACTAAAATGAAGAATGATGATTTTCTGGAACACTTAAAAGACTAAGTATCCAGGGAGAAATTTAAAATCCTGGAGGATGGCTAATATAATTTATCATATGTATCTTAAAACACAGAAGATTTGTGATATAAAAAAAAAAAAAACAGAGTTGACAAATCTAAGTAAAAAAGGTTTCTTTTTTTTTTTTTTTTGAGATGAAGTCTCGCCCTGTTGCCCAGGTTGGAGTACAAAGACACAATCCAGGCTCACTGCAACCTTAGCCTCCCGAGTTCAAATGATTCTCCTGCCTCAGTCTCTTGAGTAGCTGGGATTACAGGCACTAGCCACCACACCAAGCTAATTGTTGTACTTTTAGTAGAGATGGGGTTTCACCAGGTTGGCCAGGTTGGCCTCGAACTCCTGACCTCATGATCCGCCCGCCTCAGCCTCCCAAAGGATAAAAAGGTTTCTAACCAAGTAGCTAACTTGCAAAGATACCAAAATATGTCATAGAACAACAAAAACAGCTTTTTTTAAATTTCTCATTACTTGTCCTATAAATTAATTGCATTCTTTGCAAATAAAATATTAATGAAGCAATCCTGCCAAGTAAAATTAAATGTAGCAATATGCAAGTTGCTCTGCATTTCAAAAACATTGACTAGTGGCTGGTGGAATTGGATGATGGAGAGTAAGATAATATTTGTACAAATGCCAAAATCATTTCCCCCCCTTTTTTTTTTAACTCAAGCCATTAGTGCATGCAATGAAGATACCAGATCCTTCATTCAAATACCCTGCTAAACTTTCAAAGGAGGGAGTGGAATGATACCTAAGCGCACCATTGGACCAGAGGAACTTGATGGCTATCCAATATGTTTGTGAGTAGGAAGAGTGGCATAGAGACAAAGGCAGGTACAACCAGTGCTCCCTCAATACAGGATGTGCATATATCTAGGTAAAATGTTTATTGCCTAAAATGCTCGGCCCCAAGACTAGTCCTTGTTCTGGAGAAGCAGGACTAGTCTGCAGTAACTGTCCTTGTAAAGGAAGAAAGTAAATATAAGTTGTCTACAACCCATGTTTTTCCCTTATTTATAGATGTGCAAAAGAAAACTCGTATCACAATGCCTTCTATAAATATTTTTACCAAAACAATTATTAGTGTAAAAGTAAAAGTAACCATGACTTTTTATATTTTTCTGAAATGGAGCCTTGCTCTGCTCTCCAGGTTGGAGTGCAGTGGTGTAATCTTGGCTCACTGCAGCCTCTGCCTCCCAGGTTCAAGCAATTCTCCTGCCTCAGCCTCCCGAGTAGCTGAGACTACAGGTGTGTGCTGCCACGCTCAGCTAATTTTTGTATTTTTAGTAGAGACGGGTTTTCACCATGTTGGCCAGGATGGTCTTGATCTCCTGACCTCGTGATCTGCCTGCTTCAGCCTCCCAAAGTGCTGGGATTACAGGCATGAGCCACTGCACCTGGCCTATGACTCTTTCATGTGGAAATATATAAATAAAATTTTTAAATTTGGGCTTTGATTCGGAGTTTGGAATAACAGTAGCAATTTGAATTAGTTTATTTTTAAATAAATATTAGAGAAAGTTCTGAAGACGAGTGCACTATGGTGGAAATTACGGTAGAACTAACAGGAGCCCAAACTTTTAGTCCTAACTCTATTGTGTGACCATAAGCTAGTGACGTCAACTTTTTGTGCAACAAGTTCATTATCTTCATTAACTCTAGAGATTTGTATATATTAGGCCATCAAAAAATAGTTAAATAAAAGCCCTTTCTAAACAACTCTGTTTAGCAAGTGTAAACAATACCAATACTTTGAAAAGATAAATATCAGCAAACTTAAACAAATTTCAAACAATGCTCTAGAAACACTTTGCCTTTAAACAAAGCATGTCCCAATGGATAATTATATAAATATACAAATAATATTTTGTATGCTCTTTCATATCAATTGCCCCTGTAAGCATTTGCATATGAAGAATAAAACTGAAATTATAAAATGTTTTTGTATACTCACTAAATTATACTCTATTGAAAGCAGGTTACTAGTTTGGATAGTAAATAATGATGTGTATTTGTTTTAGTCAACATTGGTAATGATATAGATCAAGATAGCTTGGGAATATTATTATGTATTTCTGATGATAACCATTGGTAGGTTTAAAACAATCTGTTCAAAATGAAAGAATATATATTTAAATCCTGTAGAGAAAGCATGAATTAAAAGGAAAATGAAATACAATACTTCATTTAGTTGAATATAATTAAAATCTTGTCTATTTGAATTCAAACTTCACTCTCTTCTAGGAGTGCTCTGGATCCCAAATAAACAAAATAAGAAATGGGGGGTGAGGGAACTTTTGCAATAGCAGAAAAATGCTTTCTAACCATCTAGCAATAGGAAACCGTGTTAAAAGCATGCCACACAGAGAAGTTCAGCGATCTGAGAGCAGGGAATATTTACTGAAATCTATGTAAGAAAACATCGCTAGCTGAACCATGAATAAAGCACAGCATTCCTATTGTAATAGCTAAGTGTTAGGTGATGATTCACCCACTGAGGAACATCTGGGCTGTTTCCAGGTTTGGCTCCTGTGAATAGAACTGTGTTGCACAATTATGTACAGGGTTTCCTGTGAGCACAACTTTTTCTTTCTCTGGAATAAATGCCTGGTCATGCAATTGCTAGGTCACGTGGTACTTGTACGTTTAGTTCTTTTTTTTTTTTTGAGACGGAGTTTCGCTCTTGTTACCCAGGCTGGAGTGCAATGGCACGATCTCGGCTCACCACAACCTCAGCCTCCTGGGTTCAGGCAATTCTCCTGCCTCAGCCTCCCGAGTAGCTGGGATTACAGGCACACGCCACCATGCCCAGCTAATTTTTCGTATTTTAATAGAGATGGGGTTTCACCATGTTGACCAGGATGGTTTCGATCTCTCGACCTCGTGATCCACCCGCCTCGGCCTCCCAAAGTGCTGGGATTACAGGCTTGAGCCACCGTGCCCGGCCATGATGAGTTCTTAAAGAAGGCATAAGTTGTCTGGTAGTTTGTCTTTCGTGCTCTTCATTTGGGTTTCCTCAGGGTAATTTTTAATTTTGATCAGCTCCAATTTATTGGCTCATGTATATATCATGCTTTTATGTCACATCTAAGAATTCTCCTAGCCCAAGATCCTGGATATGTTTATCTTACTTTTATTTTTTAGGTTTTATAGTTTTACATTTTCTTGGAAGTTTGTGATCCATTTTGAATTAATTTTTAGGTAAAGTATGAGGTTAACGTCAACATCCATGCTTGCCTACAGATACTGAATTGCTCTAGCACCGTTTGTTGAAAAGGCTATTTTTTTTTATTGAATTGCTTTTTCATTTTGTCAAAATTCAGTTGAGAATTTTTGTGTAGGTCCATTTCTGGGTCCTGCATTCTGTTCTGTTGATAAATGTTTCTGTTCTTCTATTTTGATACAGTGTGATATTGGATATATCACACACACAAGAAGGCTAATAGATATCTTTCCAATATCACACTACATAGCCCTTATGTTGTCTTAACCCTGGCAGAGAAGGATAGTGCCTCCACCTCATTGGTTTTTCTGGCAGAAGTCCCAATCAATTCTCCTTGTTTGCAGTGTCAGGTTCCCCTGGTATGGTCAGAGGGACTCCCATTAGACCCAAGGACAGGTAAATGGGTTGCCTGAGCTGTCTTCATTTATTATTTCGAGTGTCCAGAAATGCCATATCTGAGTGAGCTTCCTCTGGGAGGTGGGAGTGTTCAGGGTGCTCTGGTGCTGTGTCACTTCTTTAGCTCTGGGGTCTCAGGCCAGCTCACTTTCCTCTAGCATCTTTTAGAGTAATCCTTTGGATGTTTCTTCTGCTTTATAGCTGTGCTTAACAGGGAAGAACAGGGAAAAACGGGCACACTATTTCGTTCTGACTGAAAGTTACGACACTATGTATTTTAAGAAGTTAATCTATATTGCGATGCAGGCAAAGGCGAGACGCGGCTCTAAACGATGGCAGCTGCTTTCCCGGAGAGGAACCGGAACCAGCTGGCTAGCGTGACTCTTCTCTGCTCACTACTAGCACGAGGCTTCCCCAGAGCTCACCTTCTCCAGAAGAGTGGAACATCAAGGACTCTGATCGCATTATTTCCTCCACATTTCCATTCCATTTCAGAACACATAGCCCATTCTCAACAGTGTTTGAAAAATGGAAATCTACTGTTGATCAACTGCACAGTCTGAGAATTATTTTTAAATCATTTTTCTCTTAATATGACATCACTGACTTAATATATGGACAAGAATGCAAGCCATCATAATAATTGTTATCCCACATTGATTTATTATTCAACCATTTATCATAGTTTTAAACCTTATCAAAAAGACACAAGTTTTACTATCATTTACACCTGGACTTTGCTCAACCGTCAATAAATCTCATGCCACATCTGATGAGTTGTCAACAGTTGTTTTGACTGAGACCAACGTGTGTGATTGGAAATAAGCTACTTCCAAGTTGTTCATATACCTGTTCTTTTTTTTTGAGATGGAGTTTCGCTCTTGTTACCCAGGCTGGAGTGCAATGGCTCTACCTCGGCTCACCGCAACCTTCACCTCCTGGGTTCAGGCAATTCTCCGGCCTCAGCCTCCTGGGTAGCTGGGATTACAGGCACGTGCCACCACGCCCAGCTAATTTTTTGTATTTTTAGTAGAGACGGGGTTTCACCATGTTGACCAGGATGGTCTCGATCTCCTGACCTCGTGATCCACCCGCCTTGGCCTCCCAAAGTGCCGGGATTACAGGCTTGAGTCACCGCGCCCGGCCCATATACCTGTTCTTAAAACAGCAAGGACTAACTTCTTTGCCCTCCATTAACCTCGCATACAATGAATATGTTCAAGTGAGTATGCGGGTCGGTGGTCTGCGGAGTCACTAGTACATAAATTAGAACTAGTGTTCTCAGCGGTGTTCAGTCAGAGAACACGGATCACAGTAGGAGAGAACATGGGTTTCTTGGGACCAAGCATGAGCAGAAAGAAAAATGCTAGATCCATAGCCTTTCAAATTAATTTGACAGAAAAGCAGATACGTTATTGTGTTCTGGTGTAAAGTTATATATGCGTCTTTTAGTAGTCAAAGAAAAAATGTGACTTCTAGGACCATTTTAAATAAAATAAGTGGCAGGACAAGCCCTACAGGGCTTCACCACATAGTCATTCCTGTGCCTCACAAGATCAACCACATGTCTGTATCTTCGTCTTGGTCTCCCATAACAAAACGCCAAGGACTGGGTGGCTTAACCAATAGAAGTTTACATTCTCATGGTTCTGGAGGCTGGAGGTCAAAGACGAGGGGGCCATGGTCAGTTTCTGGTGAGGTCCCTCTTCCTGACTTGCAGGTAGTTGCCTCTTTCTGTGTTCATACATGGCAGAGAGACTGAGGGAGAGACCATGCTGCTTTCTTAAAAGGGTAATAATACCATCATGAGGCTCCCGCCCTCATGAGTTTATCTAAACCTAACTACCTCGCAAAGGCTCCATCTTCAAATACCAGCACATTAGGGTTTAGCCCTCAAATATGTGAACTTTGGGAGACAAAATTCATCCCATAGTATTCTGCAGATTTACAGGTGCTGTCATCAAAACAGTCTGCGACATTAACGCTAGACGGATTAGTATTACTAGTCCTACACTGAGGGGTCTGTAAATTATAATTTATTATATAGAATATATAATGGTATATGGATAGTAAAACCTTATAGGAAAACTACACACACTACCAAAAAATGTAATGATAAATGATTTGCTACATGAAGAGGAACTTTCATTATTTAATAAACTCAGAGTACACGTTTTAATAATGTCAGCTTGTACTAAAGCAAAGTTTTCCTTCCTTTGGCACTCACCACTCCTCCCTAACTATAAGCATATCCAACAAACCCCTTCCAAGTATGGAATCTCTTGGAATCTCTTCTCAATCCCGCTCTCTCTTGTAGCTACTAATTTCTCCACTGCTGGGGCTCTCATCTGCAGGGACGGTCCTTCTTTCACTTTTCTCCCCTAAAACCTCTATAACAAGACCACCTGATTCCAAAGCCGGAAAACTCAGCTTTTCAGGTTTACATATGCACATCACTGATCCTTTTGTGTGTGAAGTTCTCCTTTTTCTTTTCTTTTTTTTTTTTTATGAGACGGAGTCTTGCTCTGTAGCCAGGCTGGAGTGTAGTGGCGTGATCTCGGCTGACTGCAACCTCTGCCTCCCGGGTTCAAGCATTCCTTCTGCCTCAGCCTCCAGAGTAGCTGAGACTATAGGCACCTGCCACCACGCCTGGATAATTTTTTTTTTTTTTGTGGTTTTAACAGAGGTAGGGTTTCACCATATTTGCCAGGCTGGTCTTGAACTCCTGACATTGTGATCTGCCTGACTCGGCCTCCCAAAGTGCTGGGATTACAGGCGTGAGCCACTGCGCCCCACCTGTGTGTGAATTTTCTTGAGTGAATCCAGGCCTAGACAGCCTAAGCCCTAGGAACATAAGCAAAGAGCTGATTAGACATCCTTCCCCTTCATTCTCTGATAACCTCCAGGCTCACACAGGACCAATTCCAGATTAATGTGTGTTATGAACAAGCATGGTCAGGCTGTCCTAACATTTTCCAGGCATGGGCAAGAGTATGAATGGACATCCTGCTTGGATCTAGAGGAACATGCATGGGGATAACTGGATGGATGGGAGTGGGGAAGAGCTTTGTGTAGGCACTGGACATGAAGTGATGGCTTCTACGATTGCTGGGTATGGTTTGCAAGGAGAGCCCTGGGTGGAAACATCCCCTTAGACCCAGAAAATGCTTGGACCTAGAGGAGGAGCGCAGTCAGAAGACAGAAGAGTGGTACCCTCCACCACATGCAGACCCAGTGCAGGAGCCCTGGTTCGTGGTGGCACTTGCCATGGTTGTCTCTTCGTTATTCTACCTTCTTAACCTATTGCATTAAATGTCTTGATACATAACCTTAGTCTGCAATATTACCACCCTTCTTGTAATTTAGGGGCCATTTAATTTCCCTTCCTCATAACTTTCATCTTTTACTGACAGCATCTCCATTCTCTGCCTGAAGCAGCTAACAGCTAAGCATGGAAATGAGAGTGTATCATGCAGCGCTGCACAGTGAGGTCCAGGGTAACCTGTGGATACCTAATGACATAAGGGTTCTAAGTGGAACCTAATACTATAAAGGTATTCAGAAACCCTGGAGAGCCTCTTCCGTATCTGAAGTAATATTGCCACTTCCAATTCTCCAGCATGCCCTTCTTAATTCCCAAAGAAAATGCGTCTCTAAGGGGGGAATGTCAGTTCCCATGGATGGGCAAGACACTGCTCTCAGGATGACGAGCTTGGCGCACGCTCCCCAAATCCCATACCACAAACAAGCTTCTATTTTTACCATGTTTGATCACAACAGAAAGTGTTTGGAATCATGAGAATGTTGGAAAGGAAAAAAGAAATCATTAGCTGCTACTATTTTCTGTTTTAATTTTAAAGTAATATAGGTCGTTCTACCAATCTTTTTTTAAAAATACTGTATTAGCAGTCAAATATATTATAGATTATCTAAGAAACATGTAACCTCTATCTAGAAAAATCAGTGTTTTAAGAAATCTTTGCCTGGTGTAGTTAATGCAACAAAAAGAGGCAAGTGGAATTCTGCCCCTCACCACTCTTCGTTTGGTGTGGAAGAGGCATTGTCACTGATTTTGATGGCAGGAAACTGCGATAGAACTTGATCTGCGGATCGCAGGCAAATTTAGAAATCCGTCCATTTGTTAAGCTATCGGTTAACAGACCCATTCTCCATACTAATCTTATTTATAAAAGGCACATTTTAAAATCCACCAGCCAGAGAAACAGCTGAAAACTTCAGACGTGCGTAAGCTTGACATGCTGCTGGAAGAGAGCAAAAGCGGAAACCAGTAACTTCCTCTTTACCCTCTCCCACAAGAGGAAAACTACCTTGTCAAACAAGTGCACCAGGAAAGTGAGAAACCATGACGTGTTACTTAATGCTTCCGAGGAGTATTATTCCAAACTCCGCAGACCTGCTGTTGCACAAGGCATGCGGAAACTCTTCGGATTTCAATCAAATTCTCTACTGCAATTCTAACGAAGTCCCACTGAGTCCTAGTCCGGGCTAAGGTTTTTAATTTGGATCTGAAAGTAGCTATGAATATTTTCTTTCTGTTACTTTTCTTCTTTGCAGAAAAAAACTAATGTTGGGGTTTCTAGTACAGCAGATGTCTGCTAGAAGATAAGAATACATTATGCGTAATCAATTTATTTTATTATAATCACTGAATTTAAGTTGTGTTTTTTTTCTGTGTCCTAAAGAATATTAATCAGTGAAATTTATCATACGTAAAAATTTAATACAGAAAACTCTTTGTATTCATAAGCATGAAGTGATTGAAATCATGGGAAATAAGTAGAAACTATAAACCATATATCATGGGAGTCTACCATGATATATGGTAGTCTACCAATAAACCATGGCGTCTGGGTGTGGTGGCTCATGCCTGTAATCCCAGTACTTTGGGAGACCAAGGCGGGTGGATTACATGAGGTCAGGAGTTCGAGACCAGCCTGGCCAATGTGGTGAATGAAACACCACCTCTACTAAAAATACAAAAATAAGCTGGGTGTGATAGCACATGCCTGTAATCCCAGGTACTTGGCAGGCTGAGGCAGGAGAATTTCTTGAGCCTGGAGAGACAGAGGTTGCGGTGAGCCAAGACAGTGCCACTGCACTCCAGCCTAGCTGACAGAGTGAGCTCTGTCTGCTCACTGTCTTTTGTTTGTTTCTGTCTCAAGAAACAAACAAATCATGGCATGAAAACAGTTTAATAGGCTATTAAAAGGAAACTGAAAGGAGACTTGGAAATTTCTTTGTCAGGCATTCAAACATTACACATTTCCTTATTCAGCATCAACCTTTCACAGCATATGAGAACTCCAGTTTTTCCTATAAAATAAGCTTGTATACAGCTCTATGCCTTTCTCAAAATTGTTCCCATGGTTTATCCTTGTAAAAAACCTACTCTAGAATGCAAACGAATGGTTAAAAATGTTTATTTTATTTCAACTCTTTATTTTATTATTTAGGATTTTTGGTTCTGTAATTCCAAAACTTTTACCTACCTCTGACTCAGCTGTTCCACCTTGATCTATCACCACTAGGACTCAGAAAAAAAGCAAAGAACCTGTACGCAAAAGGAACCAGGAAAATTATTCCTAGAGAAAGGAAGCCCAGCAGGAGTTTGACCGAGTAACAAAGTCTTAGTAATAAGAGAGTAAAGGAGGCAAACCTAAATAGTAGTGTTTTTTTCTTGCCTAAGCTTCTGGTGAACTCATATCTTAAATCTTGAAATTGGCATGTGACAACCTAGCTGGCGGGTTGATAG